CGCGTCCCACCCCTCCCCAAGTCAAACCCCGCCTACCCCATCACCCCCAGGGACACCGACCCGCCGTGGTTTGCCTCGCTCGGCCAGCTGGGGTGTTCTCCGCGGCGGAGGTGTGTCGTAGAGGGCGCCCCCTGCCCGCCGCTGCCGCCGGCCGCGTGATACCGCCGAAGTGGTGAGATAGGCTGCCGGCGGACCGAGCGAGCACCCGCCAGACGCAGCGCCGGCTCCGCGCGCGCCGCCCCGGCCGCCGTGCTCCGCGCTGTGCTCCCGCCGTGCTCCGAAGCGGCTCGAGCGCGGGAGTTCAGGGGCTGCGCTGTTGGGCAGCGCACCGGCGGATGCCGTGAGGTTGGACGTGCGCGGTGACCACGACCGAGGGAACGATGGACGACCAGGAGGGAAGCGTGAAGTCGGTGACGTTCCAGTCGATGACTCTGCCACCGCTCGGTGAGTCGAGAGCAGGGCAGACACGCGCACGGAGGCGCCGTCCGAAGGTAATGCCGAGAGGTGGCTGGCTTAGTGACGACTTCAGTGGGATTTTTCTAACCAACAAAATCCTCCTTGTCAGGAAAAGCATCGCAGAGCTTAGCACCTCAAAGCGGAACGGGAATGGGGATGAGGACACTTTATCTAAATCTGTACCCGTGTTTACAGATTACTGGAGTGAGCTTGCGTTGGGCCGTTGGTTTGTGCTCTTATCAAAATGAGGCGGGAGGTGATAACGTGGGCCAGGCCAGAGTTCTTTGTAACACATTCTGCCCACTCTGGCAGTACTGTGCAGGTGTCGCTGTCGCCATTGCTATAGCAGGGGCGGGGACATCGTACTTTAGCCACTCTATAGTCCACACAGGACGCGCATTCATTCTAGGCGAACATTCTGCAAATTATATATTGAATACGTTTTTATCACACAACAGCAACTGTGTTGGATGAAGTGGTTTCTAACAACGTGCATATATATATATATTATATATATATATATATATTATATATATAATAATAATGCATATGTATATATGTATATTACTTTCTTCTTTTTAAGGATAGGTCTCACGCTGTTTATGCCTTAATTTCCTAAACAGTCAACATCCAAACATTACATTTTCGTTGGAAGAGGGGTCAAATGACAAAATTGCCTTTCTTGACGTCCTCACTCACAAGGAAGGTGGTCGTTAACGCACTCTGGTGTACAGCGGCCCACTTTTGCTTGGCTGGTCACGGACTTTTATATTTTCTGAGCTTAGAGACGTATACATTTACCTATAGATCATCTAGATACCATCGGCTGTTGTAAGCAAGTTCTGTTGTTCCTCGCGCGAGTCACCCCACATAGGTTCCACCGTTCGGAAATTGCGCAATCGCATTCAGCAGCATTTCGATCATCTATCCTGACGAGAACTTTTCTCGCAAAATCCGATCCCTGCACCACGCGAGAACATTTATTTATATGTGAAACTGGGGTTTTGGCTTTCAATTTTAGTATCGTGGGCAGGACATTTTCTTCGCTTGATCTGAGAATCGTGTGTATGTGTGTGTGCGTTGCTTATCGTGTCCATTAAGCGGAATATCTTCACAGCGCGCTTCACCCTATCTGATGCATTAGCGCCGAGGCGATGCTTCAGCGCTAGACATAACCTGTCACGGCGGCGACCCCCTTCCGCAATTGCCGGTGACCTGCTACAGCCCCCGGTGACCTGCCATAGCCGCCGGTGACCTGCCACAGCCGCCGGTGACCTGCCACAGCCCCCGGTGACCTGCCACAGCCGCCGGTGACCGCCCGCAGCGGCCCGAGGGTGGTTCACGTTCTGGACATCGAGACGTCTTGATCGGTCACCATTATGCATACGCAGCCGTATTTTCCACACGATAGAAATTAGGTGCGCTCAAAGTAACGCAGCAATACTCGTCTTTGTCTAAGCGTTCCACGACGTTACGTCATTTACTTTTTTAACTTTTACGATTTGGCGTGTGTGGACAATAGCTAACCAGTGTAAGGGTGCGACGGATCCGGAAGGCATCTGCAGGCTGCACACATATCACACATTGGTTGCAAAGCCAGGCGTATCGGAAACGTAGCAGCATGGGATACATAAACAAATGATGGTCTCCCAGGTGTCATCGGGTGCAGCAATGACTGCTGGCTTGTTGTGGACCCTGGGACTGGAACGGGTCGAAGGGGTGACCTTTTACTCGTTGGGTGGTTCTAGATACGACGCAACTTTTATTCAGGATGTCACGCATCGTGATTACGCAGTCAATGCAGGCTCGTATCTATCTGCTAAGTTAACGCTCCCAACGTTGGCAAATTTTGCACGAAGTGCTCTGTAAATAGAGGCGAGTATACAGGTTTGGTATCTCATCACAAAACCAAGCTTAGGTCACAACCACTGTTTCATTAAATAGACGGTTGTGTCATAATGGCTAGATTTAAAACTTGAACATCATTTTTGATTTTACTAGATGATTATTTTACTTTCAAAACAGCCGACATAAGGGAGCTTTAAATTTCCTGAGAGCAAAGAGAATTTCATTCCATCATCTGGATCACGCGCACCATTCGTGACATCTTCCGCATCCCGCTTGGATCGGCTCTATAACTAAGACTGTGTGTGTCTATAACTGCCAGTGTTTGGAAGTCATGCTTTGCCGAGCGCCTTCAGGCCATTTGCCGTATCACCCGCTCAGTCATGGTTAGTAGCCACGCTGTCTGGAAGCTAGGCCCACACATGCCGTATACCACCACCACGCCCGCTGTGCGTGGAGACAACGAGCCTTCGCCTGCGCTGGTGGGCATAAACAGACGACAGACAGCGGTGTCTGGCCGGTCGGCTGCGTGACGAGATGTTTCCTGTGCGTTCGGCCGTCCGCGATTCCAGCTTTCGTAACGGCCCTGGGAGTGAGGGGGGGGGGGGCGTCAGCACCGAGGGACGCCTCCGGTGTCGGTCTCTCGAGCACGTCAAAGCACGCACGGGGTGTCCCCAGGACCCCTGACAGAGCTGGCGCCCTGACCGGCGCTCTTTCCCGTCCTCGATATTTGCGCCCCACTCTGTAAGCTGGCTTAGTTATGCGGCAGCGGCCGTGAAACACCCCCTCCGGATCAGCAGATCAGCCTCCCGGTCCCGTTGCACTCTGTTACGACAGCCATTAGGTACCGGTTGATGATGACTTCCGCCACCGTCCGCTGGGGCCATCGCCCGACGCTCTCCAGATGCCGTCTTACAAAAGTTTCTCATTGACACCATTCTCATGCACCAATGACACCTGCCTGAATCATGTCATGCACACACATTAAAAAAAAGGAGGAGAGAGAGAAAGAAGAGAGAGAGAGAGAGGAGAGAGAGAGAGGAGAGAGAGAGAGGAGAGAGAGAGAGAGAGAGAGAGAGAGAGAGAGAGAGAGAGATAGAGAGAGAAGAGAGAGAGGAGAGAGAGAGAGAGGATGAGAGAGAGAAGAGAGAGAGAGCGAGGAGAGGAGAGAGGAGAGAGAGGAAGATGAGAGAGAGAGAGAGAGAGAGAGAGAGAGAGAAGAGAGAGAGAGGAGAGAGAGAGAGAGAGAGAGAGAGAGAGAGAGAGAGAGAGAGAGAGAGAGAGATAGAGAGAGAGAGAGAAGAGAGAAGAGGAGAGAGAGAGAGAGAGAGAGAGAGAGAGAGAGAGAGAGAGGAGAGAGAGAGAGAGATGAAGAGAGAGGAGAGAGAGATAGAGGAGAGAGAGAGACGAGAGAGGCGAGGAGAGAGAGGAGGACGAGAGGAGTGAGAGAGAGAGAGAGAGAGAGGAAGGAGAGAGAGCAGAGAAGAGAGAGGAGAAGAGAGTAGAGAGGGAGAGAGAGAGAGAGAGAGAGATAGAAGAGAGAGAGAGAGAGAGAGGATAGAGAGAGGAGAGAGAGATGAGAGAGAAGAGAGAGGCAAATGAGAGAGAGAGAAGAGAAGAGAGAGTATACCCGAGAGGATAGAGAGAGAGAAGAGAGAGAAGAGAGAGAGAGAGAGAGAGAGAGGAGTAGAGAGAGAGAGAGAGAGAGGAGAGAGAGAGAGAGAGAGAGAGAGAGAGAGAGAGAGAGAGAGAGAGAGAGAGAGAGAGAGAGAGAGAGAGAGAGATTGCGAAGCGGCAATAAACAAATCGACATTCTTTTTTAGGTAAGTTTTTGGAAGCCATCAGCATGCTATGCACCTCTTAACCCCGCAAAAGTTGATCGGTTGAATCTGTCATTGGTCTCCTGGCCCCGTCTTCTTACGTCGTCTCCTGACCCCGTCTCTTGACACCAGCCCCTGACCCACCCCTGACGCCGTCCCCTGGCACCCCTGGCGCCGTCCTCTGACGCCAGCCCCTGACCCACCTGTGACGTAGTGCCCTGATGCGGGCCGTGTGCCCGGCAGGCCGCGGCGGCTCCAGCGGCGCCGGCCTGCGGACGCCAGTGCGCTGCCTGCGGCTGTTCGTGTTCGCCTTCCTGGTGCCGGCCGCGCTGATCGCCGTTCCGCTGTACCAGCGGCGCGTCACGCTGGCGCCGCGGCTCTTCACACTCACGGCCACCGACATGCGGAGCGTGCTGGAAGGCATCTCCAGCGTCTGGTGCGAGGTAACGAACGGCGCCCGCGCCGCCGCGCGGGCCGGATCGAAGGCCGCTGGCGGGACGTCCTTCCCGGCTGATGGGTCAGCAGTGGTGTGGGCTGTTGAACTCTAGGCCAGGGAAAGGTCATGGTTTGCGAAGTCGTACCTGTGTGGGACCTGTGTGTACCTGTGTGGGACTAGGCTCTTGATCGTGGAAATCCGGGCGAGTGCGCGGTGTGGTGGCCATTGTAGCCGTAACAGCTGTTGTTTTCGTTATAGCTCAGCATTTTGTCGTATTGCGCATTCTCTGTAAGTTATGTAAGAAATACTCACGGGATACTTAAATGGTCCGGGCATTGTAATGCATTTCACACAAAAGCATATGAAAATGCACGTGCGACGTTAAAGAAAGCTGGCAAAGCAATATGCTGTCGTCAGGAGGACTGACGGCGCCACCGGATGGCATTCAGGGTTAGAGAATATTTTGGGTCACTATTTCCGCGAAATGTTACAGATGTGGTATGCCTGTGTACGACACCGAGCAGCGTTGTCAATGACACACAATTTTAAAATTACATTTTTGGGAGAGAGGGCACGGGACGCGAAGCGGTGCCTCCCCTGCTCGCGCCCGCTCTAGACGTTCAAGACCCAGCGGCTGGCCGGCGGCGCATGGCGCTAGTGGGAGCTGTCGGCCGCTCGCCTGACGCAGATCTGGTGACGGCCGGCTCACGTCCTGACCAACGACAGGCTTGCTCATCGAGCATCACTATCAGCGGTCGGCCAGACCAATGCAGGCACGCTTGAAATCCGGGGTAAAATCTGACGGACGGCTAGACTCAGGCGGGTAGACAGTTGTTGCGGGAGAGTTCCGTGCGTTTGCCGTGTGAAAACCGAACAGGCCCAAGGTTGGGGACCCAATCGCTTAGAGGCCCTAATGCTATGCTTTTAGGCGTGATGCCTGCCCTTCCTGCCACAGTGAGAGACTGGCGACGCCAAAAAGCTTTAGCAGCTGAGCGCATCGTAAAGCCCCCAAGACCCTCATAGGCGCGGAAATTATGTGCGGGATGGAAAGGCTCCATTTCTGTGAGACATTACCTATACCCAGCTTTCCATTTCTCGCTTTTTTCGGCGAATTGCGGCCACCCTATTTGTTGTGTTGTTAGACGAGATGAACTAATTTAGCACGCACACGCACACGCGCACGCGCGCGCACACACACACACACACACACACACACACACACACACACACACACACACACACACACACACACACACACACACACACACACACACACACACACACACACACACACACACACACACACACACACACACACACACACACACACACACACACACACACACACACACACACACACACACACACACACACACACACATATGTATATATATCATCGGATAGTTAAAAGCAGTAAAAATTTGATGGCCGGGACAGCAGTCGCTTTCATCTATGTAATTCGACAACGTATTGATACAATCGTGCATCATCATCAGAACACGAGAGTTACAGGCACGAAGAAGTAATAACATACATCGCTAGGCATGACAATGACCATATGTAACGCAAATCAACGCAGTTTCTCTGCGCGCAAACAGGGCAATTGAAACATAAAATATCACGCGACGAAAGATCATTAAGACTCCATATGAAAGAGGCTGCGGTATATTTTGCAGAGTACGCAGTATCCGTGATATTCAATAGCGGCTTTTTGGTGAGCATGCAGTGATTCTTGAATCCTAAGATAGATCGAGAAAATTGCTGCAACGCCTTAATACGGAAAATTTCTTAAGGTGAAGGCGATATCACGGTGAAGGTGAAGGCGATATCATAGGTGGTATCACGCGTAAATGCATGGTCTCGCATGGGCGAAGAATCTGGCTCCATAATGCAACCCACGCAAGGGCTTAACTCACTTTTGATGTTCCACACCAAGCACAACATTTCTTGATGAGGATTTTTTAGAGGACTAAAATTTATGGTTAAACTGTCATCTGGGAAGGTCTGACCGTACAGATAACTTTCTAAGCCAGAGCCTTCGCCCATCCGAGATCATTCAGTTATGTGTGATACTCGCTTCGACATCTAACATTTTTTTCGGTGTTAGGGCGTTGCAGCAATTCTCTCGATCCTAGGATTTCAGACTCACTGCGTATTCACAAAAAAGACCACCATTCAACTTAATGGGGTATGTATATCCTCTGCAAAATACAGAGTTGCCTTTTCATATAGAGTCTAACAGATCTTTCGTCTTGTTATACTGCATGTTTCAAGCTTTCCTCTTGGCACGCAAACAAGATGTGTGTTCAAGTGTGTTACATATAACCATTGGGATGTCCAGCGATGTCCGTCACCTTTATTTCATTGTAGCTTTGTACCGTTGCGTTCTCAAGATGATACCCAACGGTATCGGAACGTTGACGAATTACGTAAGTGATAGCGTCTGCTATTCTGGCCATCAAGTTATTCATATGTGTACGCACTTCCTGTGGTCAAGAACGCAAAGGTCAAGGAATGAAATGTGTTATGAGCTCTCTCGTTCAAGCTGTTTGGGTGTCCCGACCACCATGCCTAAGCGCCTATCTAACCTCCACGTTACCAACTGCTTCCCGGCCACTGGCTATATTGCCAGTGGTGCCATACAGTGTATTTGCAGCGACCATTGTTTATGGTCACACCGCGCAATACCGGCAGATGAGTCGTGTATAACAGGACACAAGTTAAACATGACGAATGTATACAAAATGCTAACCGAAGTCATATCAAGCATCACTAACGCCTGTGCTAAACAACCGCCGTGTGTTCGATAGTCGGTGTCGTAACTCATTTGGTGGAACATCGAACATCTGACCAAACCTGGCGTGTTCGGCAGATACTGGGCAACCATTGCCAGTAATGTGATTACGGTTATGAGCGAGGGCCCAGGCCAAGTGAGTCTTAGTCGAACTAGGCTACAATTTGCAACTTGGGCAGATGTATCCTCGAATAACATTTTCACTTCACATTCAAGCTGTTGGCTGAGTGGCCTGGCTTGGCTCAATCACGGCTTGGTCATGGTTGCTAGAAACATACATATTTGCACTTCCAGACATGTGCTGTCTGCAGCATGACAATATCACCATGATTTCCCCTATCCCAGTAAACTAAAAAGGAGAGGTTTAATTTTTGAGTCACGAAAAAGTTCGAGAACACCGGTCGAAGCCGGGTCACAATCTCGGCGTTCCGCGCTGCAACGGCCCGAGGTTAGCTCATACTAATGGAGAAGAAAACGCATGGCAGGGATATGGACTACATGTGTGCACACCGGCACGTGATATCATGTTCAAACCCCGGATCAGCCCGTTCTTTGTGTTTTTTGTCCACGCACTGACGGGGGGGGGGGGGCAAGCCTCTGACCCCGAGACAGATTCTTAAGAATAGCTCCAAAACGGTTGGCTTCATCCGAATAATCCTGCTTATGTTGCCTACCCCCTCTAAAAAGGTCCACAATCACCGGCCGTCATGATTATTTTAAAAATTTGACCTGCACGTGGGAGCTGAGGGAGTGACTTACGCAATAATGGTGCTTGCAGTGAACCCGCGTTATAAGCCGTGTTGTGTGCCGTGTGTGATGCCGTGTTGAACGGAAGACAAAGCGCAAAGCCAGCAATGTTTTATCTGTTCCGAAAATATTGGCGTCCAAACGCTACTTTCTATCAAGAGTTTGTTGCACGTCCAGAAGGAACAAAACCCAAAAACTCTGGGGGTAGGACTTTGAGGCCTGGCAACCGATTTCAGCTAATTTCAAGCTGCTCATGAATGCTAAGACATTTAGAGTTACAGTGATATGATAGCAAAACAGAGCCCTTGGAACGAACCGTGCGCGACCAGTAAATGCAGCATTCAAATTATCCACACACCGATTCCCGGTGTCGAAATCAGCAGCTCTTGGATAAATATGGACGATGTTGCTCATCAGCGCTTGGTATCTCCCGACTCTGTGACCCAAGGTGCATGGAGATCACGGCGTAGAAGCATCGAGTCACTAGGTGCCCCGAGGGCGGGCGGAGGTCCCGTTGGAGCGCCGAGCACGTGCTCCAGATGGGGTCTCTGTGCGAACAAAGCATCGACGAAGGACTTCCAATCCCAGGTGCACGTAATTTTGCCCCACAGCTATGAACTCTCCTTCATCACATAGCCCTGACATGATCATTACTTACTAAAGGGACCCATTTCCAAACTAAACCAAACCAAAGCAAAAAATACTAAAAACAGCAGATAATAGCCAAAACATTGCTTCAAGAAACACTTGATATTTTTAGCTATTACTGTTAATGCTTTAGTCGTCGTTGATTCTGAAGGATCTGTGAAACCGAGTCATGGAGCAATTCCTTTGTAGGAATACAATGGATGACGATTTTTGGCGGGGACGGGAAGGTCCCAGCGCCTGCTAAACGCAGCAACGTCGTCTAAGGCCCCCCGGACATCTTGGACAACCCGGAGGGGTGTCTGCATCACAGGGCAACGTGTGCAGGGCAGAATATGCACGGTAAATGCCATGCATTTGGGAGCCATTGGCAGTTGGTCATGATTGCAACAAAGATCGCGCAGTGTTACATCACTGCTTACAAACGTGTCCGTTTTGTTCGACGCCGTTTTCCACGCGACTGGCAACTGCGCAGTCTGACGCCAAGTGCCGGCTCCGTTGGCAAAGCGTTCAGTCAATCATTCTATCACGAACGTCCGGTCGGGTCACCGTCCTGGCTTATCACGGTCGTTACTAGCGGTGCCCACTCACTGCTGGCTCATCTGCAGAAAAACCGGACCTTACTGCACAGAGCTCGCCTAGCCTCGTGGGTCCATCTGAGAGCTTTGGGGCCATGGGGTTATGGGACTTTGGACCGGGATGTTTCCACCAGCGACGAAAACCCTCTAGTTTCCAAATGAAATGTGCTGGCCGAGCCGATCAGTCACGGCGGGCAGCTGCTGAATAGGAAGCGCATGGGTGTGCTCCAAACAGCGATCTTT